CCAAGGATTAGGCTTCTCTGCGCAAATGAGGCCTTGGCCATTCCTTATATCAGTCCAATGTTGGCTGAAAGTTTAGGAAATTTACCACCTATTTTATGTGTAGGTTATTGAATCATGTTCACATTTTCTTCTCACCAATCTCATCCATATTAGTTCATAAAATTTCAAACATAATGTATTACGTCCAACACAATTAATATTATTATAATATAGCAAGCAGGTGGCGAAGAAAGGCTTCGGGATTCAATAGTTCTATTTGGTTTTAAGGCTTCCGATCCAAGCAAGCACCAAGTGCCCAAATACGCTACGGAGAATTTTGCCAAATCTTCGTACAAGAAGCCCACAAAAGTCACACTCGAAGTCTATGATGACGCATGCCACTGTTTTTTCGTAAGTTTTTCATTATCTCTGTCGGTTTTTTTTTGTACAATATTTCTGATTAGTTGATATTTTAATAATTCTATGAATAGATTTTTCCAACTGAAAAAATTAGCCAGTATGCGCTAAACAGAGTTTATGATTTCATTAAGCTTCATGCAGCTGACGATGCTAACAGATCAGAAAATGACGCTACTTATGAAAACGGGAAAACTCTTAATGCAGTCGCAATTAACCCTAACTGTGAAATTAGAGAGTTGGATGGGAAATATTTGGAATGCCTAAAGTATGAGAACATTGGAGTTTTGCCGGACGTGAATGAATCTGATTATGTTGATAACGTTTAGCTTTTGATTTAAATATTTATAACATATGAATCTTGTAAATAATTTATAAAACCGACGTAAATTTCCGTGTAACATGCTCAATAAAATTTTGTTTGTACGACGAAATTTGTTTCTATACAAAATCTGATGATCCACCAACTTTGAGATGGGAAATATTTACCTTTGATTCTTAATACAACTCCTTGCCTTAAGAATCCATATACAGGATTATACCAAGAACAAAAACACAAAGAAACACCCTGGACGCATTGTATTTTTTATTCAAGGATAATTTTTATTAAATATTGGACCAAAATTCATATAAAATATTAATAACTTTGTAAAATGAATACATGGATAAACACATCAAATAATTTATTAAGTTCTAAAAGAGTAGACGAAGATAACCGCTAAAGGACCAAAGTTAAGAAAAAAATTTTCCTCTTTCGGTGATGTAAATATTTGATTGATTGAAAGTATGAACGATCATGAAAATCGATTGTTCTACATAAAGCAGAAAGTATATAAACTTTGGATTAAGGATTAGGGAAATCAATGAGCATTCATATAAATTTGGACGATAGAAAATTCATTAATTATCGGGATAACAGCTAATTAAGCTAATTAAGTGAAGGAATAAATATCGATTGAAATTTTAAATTGCACCCAATAAAACGACTATTTAAGTCAAAAACCATAAAAGGAAATCCATACAAAGATGGCAAATTAGTTAATATCCGAAATGATATCCAAACGACCATTTCGGACTCCAAATGGCCGTAAAGTTTTTTCTTTATTTTTTACAATTTAAATAAATATTAGCAATTTAAATTTTTAAAATTGCTTGTTTAAATAATAAACTTAAGTCCATTTTCCATTGGACATTATCCAGTGAATTCCGATTTGGGATATCCGATATGATTGATCATTTCGGACATGAATGCATTTGGGTTAAAACAGAATAATCGAGGTTCTGAGAATTTATAAAAAAATTCTCAGAACCTTGATTTTTCTAGAAATCATCCCGAAATACGTGTTATCCCCGGATCTTAGCTCTTTAAGACTTTTCCGATGAAAATTTGGAATAATTTATAAAATCTTTTTAAATATGCAACAACTCTCATGATTACTGCTATCATAAAAAATTTTAAACAATCATCGAAATTCTCAAGATGTCCTTTTCTACACAATATTATCAGACTTTAGAGTTCATCAAAAATAA